ACACAGCTCAAATATGAATATGAGGAAAGCTGCAGCTAGACCAGAGAAGGAGACGAACAGAGAGGCTGTGTGTGTCCTTTGTATGGAGATCCAGTGCGTCCTTCTGGCCCCACCCCTAAAGACTTCCACCTTATATAAAACAAAACTGGCTGTACACAATGTTACGACTTAGGGTGTTGCCACCAGAGACGTCAGATGATACGTCTGGTATGAAAGTGAAGTTGGTCTGGGCTTCAACACTTTTCATCATGCCTGACTCATTAACTGATATTGCAAGTGACTGACTTCAACCACTTCATCATCTGCAGTGATTGGCGCAACTACTAAAACAGAAAACCACCCTCCTGAGTGCAATGGCCTCGCTGACCAAAGAGCTTGACATCACAGTTGAGCAGAAATTCTCCCCAAGGGCCATACCCAAATGGAAGTGGATTCAGTCCATGGTACTATTGAGCGATCGCTAAATAACGCACTGATGTACATCCCAATGAACTACGTGAACATCATGCTCAAAGCCAGACGCATCCCCAGGCCCTATGAAGTTATGTACCTGGACCACAGCTTTTTCAAAGATTTCGCAAAGGTCGGAGAGCACTAAACAATCCGTCCAGGGAGAAAAGCAGGCGACCCTACTGTCACTGACTTGCAGTTTTCAAAGTACACTCCAGTCTTTATAATTCAGTACAAGCTGAACTTTGATGATGGATGGCAGGCGCTGCAAGGACCAAGAAAGCTGAACACCATGTGTACGACGGTTACTGCTGAACATCTCTGCAAAGACAGATTGAAGATAACTGCCAACCAGTATAAACATCTACATGAGTTGAAGGCCGTTCTACCAGGATGTTACCACAATTACCATGAAACTTTGCCTCAGTAAGAAGTTTTGAAAGCGATCAAGCCAAATTCGATTATTGTAGAATCTTTCAAAACAATGGTAACTTTTGTCGTATTGCCTTGTTGTAGCCATAGGACACAGAGTGAGACAGACATGCTCTTCTCTCGACGAGAAAACTCAATAAAGTAGTAGTTGTCAAGCCACGTACCTTGGAGAAAGCTGGCGCATTCTTTGGTACTCACAAAGTCTTGTTGTATAATAATGATATATCATTATGTAACCAACTTCTCCCAAACCATTGCCGAGGTAGCAGAGCTTTTGTGTGGCTTTCTGCTTCCATTTCTTTCTTAGTATTACTTTTTTCCAGGCCTTTGAATGGCCACACCGTGCCAATAGTACCGTGTCAGACACTGTCATATATTCTAAAGGCCTACTGCTGCTGCTGCTACTACTGTTGTTTTTGTTGTTGTTGTAGTTGTTGTTTTTGTTGTTGTTGTAGTTGTTGTTTTTGTAGTTGTTGCTGTAGCTGCTCTCCCTTACCCTTCCAACCTCCTGTTCTTATACTTTAAATGTAATTAATATACCCATTAGTGTGTTCTGCTTCTTCTACTTCTATTAAAGGTTCAACTGTGTGACTGCTGTTTTTGCCCGAATTGACTCCGTAGCACTGAAATGGCAGCAGCTGATAGTATGTTGGTAGCAATAATATAGTCCTCCTCCTCTTCCTTCTTCTTCTTCTTACTCCTCCTCCTCCATCTTTTTTCTCCTTATCCTCCTCCTTCTCACCCTCTTCCTCCTCCTCCTCCTCCTCCTCCTCCTCCTCCTCCTCCTCCTCCTCCTCCTCCTCCTCCTCCTCCTCCACCTCCTCCTCCTCCTCCTCCTCCTCCTCCTCCTCCTCCTCCTCCTCCTCCTCCTCCTCCTCCTCCTCCTCATCCTCCCCCTCCTCCTCCTTCTTCTTCTTCTTCTTCTTCTTCTTCTTCTTCTTCTTCTTCTTCTTCTTCTTCTTCTTCTTCTTCTTCTTCTTCTTCTTCTTCTTCTACAAAAGATCTTGACGATTGAAGCAGGTGATCAAATACGTTACCGTCAAATGTGGCTTGGCTGCACTCAACCAAACTCAAGGCCAACAGTGGCTTCCTGATAAAACCGGTCAACCCACAAAATTGAGGGTTGGTCGGTTTTATCCAGGAAAATGTGAGCGACATAACCGTCTAACACACACAGTTTCATTAAAAACAATTTTTATAGGAAAAAAAGGTCTACAGATTTTCGGTAAAGTGTTTTTTTATAGGTGTTTAAAGCATTGATTTATCGTTAGACGCCTTTGTTTTGAAATAAAACAGTTTTTTCCTCCTCCTGTAAAATTTACCTCGCTGGGGTTAGTCGGTTTTATCACAAGGCCGACGTTATGGTATTTATAGTTTACACTTTAACGTTTGTAAGCTTCGTTAAGACTACTAAAAGCAAAGTGGCAATTTGTGTATTCCGACACATTATCCAAAACGAACGACGTATGCAAAGTCCCATACACATGAGACGAAAGCAAGTTAGTTGTACAGAACGAGTCCTGTTTAGCTACACTACGCAGGGTTGTGTAAATAGAACATATTCACATTATGTTCTTTGCCCTCCATAGATTAGGTCTCTATCATTTCGCAATACAGCCCCCAAGCATGTGCTACGCGAAGCAAAAAGACTGAGAAGGATACAACGTCTGGGTTAACTATCAGAGGTAGGCTATTTGATTTAATTGTTTTGAATACATGAGAATCAAAGTCGCATCTTCTGCGAATGACGACGAACCGCTCAGTGGCTTTTCCACAGACACCTATTTACTTTACTAACATCTTTTATAATATGTTGTAAGAATGGTTCCTAGATTCACACACTGAGGACGTTTTCAAACTGGTGTGTCTGTACTGATGTTTGGGGTCAGAGGTTAAGTAACTGGCCAGAGGAAGGAGCTGATTTTAAGTTGATCCCTTTAGTTTTTCGCTCGCAACTGCATAAGGTCATATGAGCGCCTTTATTCCCTTAAAGTTGATCCCCATCATCCGGTGCCTTGTCGACTGGCGTGGGCAATCATGGGCCTCTCCTTCACTCTGTCTTGCGTTGCAACGATGGTGTCTGTCGTTCTTTTGTTCCAAAACTTGATACAGAATTTTAATTTAAAACAAACACACACATGATATGTAAAACACACACACATACAAACACACACACACACACACACACACACACACACACACACACACACACACACACACAAACACACACCCACCCACACAAACACCCACACACCCACACACACAAACATAATATATGCAGCACAGGCATATACACGCATACCAGGTGACCAGAAAACAGTTCGTCCAAAAAAATGCCAATAAAACTGTTATGAAAAAAAGGTGCAAACACAAAAGTTTGCAGAAACGTGAAACATCCATCTGGGCTTTTTATGTATATACAACAATAGAATGTGACTGCCACAAACAAAGTTACACGATATTTTCCAGATATTCCCAATTTTCGAGTAAAGCACATTCTGACACACAGTGTGAAATTGGTCGCTTTTAAGGACAAGCGGGCTAGCCCACATTTCGGGGGTTTCCTGACATCTTGACTTACACCAAAAGTAGGCATTGCCCTACCTATAGGAGAAGTTTGGTTTCATTGGTGTGTATGTTTGTTTGTTTATAGAGAAAACTCCCCGTGTCTTTTAAAGAAACTGAACAAGGGGCAAAAGCTTAACCTTCGATTTTCTCAAAGTAGCATTTTTCGGGATAGCCCCCTTGTACTTAAAAGCGACCAATTGACAATCACCCGTTGACACAGCTCGAGAGATATCTCTGTTGTGTTGTGCCCTTCGTGAGGATTTCTCTCAAGTCTTGGATACTTTCGAAGGTTGTCCAATACATCTCGCCCTTCAAACACCTCCAACGGCGAAAGTCCAGTGGACTTATGTCTGGATAGTTTGGGGCCCATTTGTGCTCAGTCGGACTGACTGTCTTGTAATCAAAACTAATGGTTGTTGACCCAGCCCCGAACACGTCTTGCGTCATGAGGAGTGGCCCTATCTTGCCGGAACTGCTGGCTCTTTCTTCCATCTTCATCAACAAATTAAAGTCCTAAGCCCATCCATAATTTTTGTAACATGACGAGGTGTCGGCCCTCCCGGGTCGGTGCTGTTGATTGAAGTGTCTTTAGGCCATTCCCAATTGGGGGGGGGGGGGGGGGCATTAACATGTTCTTATGAACAGTAGAATTGTAAATGGGCTGATTTATCAATGTCATGCTCATAATTGTGCCGGAACTGCATCATGGAACTGCAGCTTTTCTCCCCTAATACTTACTATCGTCATTTCCCCTCTACTTCTTGTGTATGTTTGTCACACTTTTGTGACCCGCTATTTCCGGGGTGCCTTGATAGTCGAAGTAGACTTTGGGCTGTTGAAGCTAGAGAGGGGAGCAGAGTAAGCCTGATTCCCTGTAAGGACTTCTCTGTAAGTTGACATCCACCCCTTGATGCTCATATGACCTAATGCAGTTGTGAGCGCCGTAAAACCTTACTGAAACTAAAAAAGACCCCAAAACGAGATGTCGCTCGGAGTTCACAGAATAACGTTTTAACAGGCTGTCTACCGTGTCTTACTCAGCGCTCACAATTCAAATATTATTTTCTATGAACTGAAAGTTTTCAAAATTTGCAGCCCAATACAAAATATACCTTTCATTTGGAAAGTTAGGTTTGTTACAGGTATCTATCCCGTCTTCTCGAGCAATTCATGAACAGGTCGATTTGGGAGGGGTTTTTTTTGGTGCTGATACATCTAAACTGAAAATGCACGCTGTACAAAGGCTGAATGATTTATCATCTTTCCATTGTGCAACAGCGATTAATTTGTTTGAAAAACAGGATCCGGATGTAGACTTATGTTCTAGCTTTCGGTCAGTTTTGATATTAATTGAGTCATAAAGAAGAAAGTTATTAACATTTCATTGAACTTTTTTTCTGGTCAGCTGGTACATGCACAAACAAACACACACACGCACACGCACACACACACACACACACACACACACACACACACACACACACACACACACGCAAACACACACACAAACAACACGCAAACATCACACACAGACACACACACACACACAC